TAAAAGACCCCATCAATTAACTAAACTTGAAAACTCACAGTGCTACATCTGGCTGTAACTTCGCTTACATGAAATTCACACGTTAGCCTTAAGTTACTTCCACAAAGTAACTTTCCTCAGGACCAGTATCAGCACCCAGAGACTAGAAACCCGGTCACCTTCACTCTGAGTGTGCCCAAGCAGGCCCTGCAGGCTGCCTGACCACACCCCTTTGCAGTTGCCTCTGCTCTTGCCTGCGACCTCTAAGAGTTAAACTTAATATACTGGACTCCCTGTAATTAGGTGGCCATGAGGCAATGTCTGGCCAGTAAGAATCAGGCAGAAGTCCCTGCGCAGAAATTGCTTTCTAGAAGAAAATGGCAAAGGCTCCACACAAGAACTCTTTGTGCCCATCACACCTCACCCTTCCTCTTGTATGTCCTTCCTGACTGGAATGTAGACGTGATGCCTGGCAGGGCAGCAGCCATTGTATGGTGTGAAAACAAAAACCCTCTTCTGAGAAGGGTGAGCAGAGCAGAGAGGCTGAAGAGCTTGGGTCCTGGCCGATGCCTGTGAGAGCCTTTGCCTTGGAGGTAGGCAGCTCAAAATTGCTGTCATAGGACAAAAATTGGTTTCTATCTTTCAACTCACTGTTGGCCGAAGCTTCCCTAATTTGTAGCCACCCTGCATGAAATGGCAAAGGACAATAATTGTGATAAAATCATACATACAACATATACACTTATGTGGAGAATTCTTTTCAGTGTATATTTACATCAACTGAGATCAGTTATATAAAATTATTTTTAAATTATAAAGGACTATACTGATGTTTTAAACTATATAAGATTACTCATCAAAAAAAAATCCTTCAAAACCTTAAAGATAATGGAAAAATACCAATGCTGCTGAATCCCCTGTGAACAATCCTAGCACAAACCCAGTTGGGAACACTATTCCCCAACAAAAAGGAGAGAGTGTAAACGCCTGCCAGAGAGGGTCTGGCAGCCTGCACGTCTCACTGGCAGTTGCCTCTGCTGAAAGGCTTTGCAGGATCGGATGCGGTGACAGAACCCCGAGGAGCCGACTGCCCGAGCAGGCCGGGAATGGACCGTGGGCAGGCAGAGCAGGGCAAGGAGCAGAAGCATGAAGGGAACAAAGGGACACGTGACCACCTGAGCCCTGGAGAAGCCCCAGCCATTATGGGACGCAAGGGACACCCCACCTCTCTGCTGCTTAGCTGATTTCTGATTCTGAACTGGCGATGCTATAAATAAAGCCAGAAATAAATGTCCCATCAGCGCAGCCGTTTGCTCAGTCCCTGCTGGACATTTCCTCTGCATGTTCAGCTGCTGCATGAGGCTGCCTCCCTCCCCACCCTCAGGATCTCACAGCTCTGCTGTGGAGATGGCAGCTATGGGACCCTGGGGCCCCGACTAGCCTCTACCCCCATCACAGCAATGGCCAATCTGTCTCCTTTCTGTCGTGGTGTTCAGGTTTTGGCCGAAGCAATTGAGGAGGAAATAACAAAAGGGCTGACCCTGAGCTCGGCTAAGCACGTTGCTCTGTGCCGTGTTTTAACATCGCCATCCTGAGTTGACTGAAGCAGCAGTCATTGCACCTGCCACCTGGTCACAGAGCCTGACACGGAGCCCATGACCTGTGCCCAGTGGCTCTCAGTGCCATCATGAAGAAGTATTTGTGAGACAGCATCAAAATCTTCTCATAAAGCTGGTGACACTGCAGGCTCTTAAGAACAACGGCAGCTGGAGCCACTTGCAGTACTGACACTTTCAAGGCTGATGTGTCTGCCTCAAAGGCCAACACTGTGATGAGCCGTACCTCACATGGCAGAGTCCTCAGGGCAACTGCAGGGACACAGGCCCAGCAGACCAGGGCTCTCCAGGGCTCCCAAATGCACTGGGGGAGCTGAGTCCCAAGCTGTGCCCACCCTGATCACAGAATGCCCCCAAATGGGTCAACCTGGGACCCACAAACCAAGCAGACTTCATGACTATTCTGGAGGAATCTTTCTTATTTAAGTGTTAGTTTCAGCTCTTGGGTACACATGGTGTGAACAAAACTTCCAGGTGGCAAAATGGACAGAGCACAGGGCTGTGAGTCACAGGCCCATCTGTGACAAGCCACACCACCAATGGCCAGTTGGCCAGCCCAGAAAGGCTGGCTTCTGCCCAATGGTGACAAGTTGCTATCCTGTTCATTCGAAACAATAATGTGCCTACGAAACATGTGGACTGCAAATCAGCTTTGGGACGGAATCTTCCTGCCCTCTGGTCTGCTTGTGACGGAGTGTTCATTCTTCAGAGGGCCACCCCCACCACAACCGGTGAGGAACAACTCACTCCACGTCCCCGTGGAGACAGCCATGTGGAGAGCTTGGGGTCCGTGCGGAATAAACACTGAAGCCAGAAATGGCCCTCTTCCAGGTCTTCATGCTGTTTAGACGTAGATGGATACACACACCTCATCTCTGTGCCTGCCACCCACTTACCAAGCAGTATAACCACTGTGTGAGTGGTGAGCGGAGCCTGTACATCAGGCCTTGCTCAGGGAACCTACTTACCAGTAAGTAGGAGAAACATCGACCTCCGCCTGGGCACCGAGGACGTTCAGCCCTTCTCTGGGCACTGTGTGCAGGGAGCAGCAGCAGCACTGCCGGGGAGAATGACCACCCCAGCTGCCCACACATGCACCCGGCTCATCCCAAACAGCCTGCGCCATACACAGCAGATGTGCAGCTCTGAGGTCTCTACCCAGCAGGGCCACCCACCAGCACTGCTGCTCTCCTGGCTGTGGACCCCTCTGTCACCCACAGAGTTTCCTCCCATCACCAAGCCAGAAGGCCTGGTGTCTGTCTGTCTTTCTTTCTCCCTTTCTCTTTCTATTTCTTTCTCTGTTTCTCTCTCTTTTTCTTTTTTCCTTTCTTTCTTTTCTCTTTTCCTCCTTCCTTCCCTTCCTTTCTTTTTATGAGTCATTTAACTTTTTTCTTTCAAAAAGCAGAAAAAGGTCCTTTGGGACAAGGAATAACAGAAACACTGCCTCATGGGTCCCTCATTTCAGGGCGTCGGCCAGCCCTTGCTCCTACACGCTCCACACAGGAAGCACCACAGACATTACGGCGGACAGTGGGCTGAGCCCTGGGGGTCTGCAGGAACTGACAGGGTAGCACATGAATGTGACTTCCCCTTCCCCACCAAGAAGGCTGGCCCTGACCTCAGCAAGGCCAGGGAGTGGAGGCCTGACCTGCCTGAGAGAGCAGTGGGGGGTAGAATGAGGGCCACCAAAAAGAGACGTCCACTAGGAGCTGGGAATGTGGCCATAGCTAGAAAAAGGTCTTTGCAGATGTAACAAGTTGAAATCTCAAGACAAGATCATCCTGGATTATCCAGGAGTCCAGTGACAAGTGTCCCTGTAACAGACTGAGCAGAGAAGGCCTGGAAGACAAGGCGGAGATCAGAGTGAGGCGGCCACCAGCACAGGAGCATCAGGCCACTGGAGCTGGAAGAAGCAACAGCAGCTCCTGTCATGGAGCCTTGACAGGGAGCCCACCCTGCTGACACCTTCATGTCAGGTTTCTGGTCTCCAGAACTGTGATAAATGTCTGTTGTTTGTGATCATTTGTCCAGCAGCCCCAGGACACTCACACAGACAGAGCAGAACTCTGGAGCTATGCTAACTCTCAGTTGCCCCTTTCTGTTCAAAAGGCCCCTATGGTCAAGCCGTCACCCCAGCTCAGAAGAATCCCTGGCTGTTCTTTGACCCCTGGTGAGGGAGGCATGAACAGCCTCACATTAGTCAGAACAGAACAGAGCTTCGATACTTAGCCATGTCTTCTGGAAATACTTTAGAAAGTTCTTAAATCAATAAGCTTTTAAATTTCTACAAAGAAAAATACACACTGTCTTTCACATGTCAGGACCCAGAAGAGGGGAATTAGGGACAACCGTGGACCTGCCAGGCACCAACACAGGGCAAATGAAAACTCCCACCTCTGCTACCAAATAGCTGTGTGACCTGAGCGAGTCATTTAACTGCTTTGCAGCCGAGTCTCTGACCCGTGTTATACAGAAATCATCCCTGCAGCTCACAGGGCTGCAGAGGATCCACTGAGCAGGTCCACGTGGACAGTGTGGGGCGAGTTTGCTGAGCCGTGTCCCCAGGACCCCTGCACAGCAAAGGACAGTCAGCTTTGATGCAAGAAAAGCAACTAAGAGCATGGCCTGCTAGAGTCAGAACTGACTGCACAGGGCTCCTCTAACCTTGCTGAAAACTGTGCCTGGGACAGAGTCCTCTCTGCCACAGAACGGCCAATTGTGAGGCACCAACTTCCTAAGGGGCCTGACCCCTGCTCCTAGTAAATATGACCCTCTTTGGGGGTGTTTTGAATTATACCCCCGGCTCACATTCCTGTATCGAAGACCCAAACCCAGGACCTCAGAACGTGACTGTATTTGGAGATTTAAAGAGGTGATTAAATTAATATAAGGTCCTTGGTTTGGGTCCTAATACCATCTGACTAGTATCCTTTATGTTATTAGGAAGATCAGGACACAGAGGAGACACCAGGGACATTTATACACAAAGACTAGGTGAAGACAGCAAGGAGATGGCAATCTGTGAGCCAAGAAGCAAAGCCCAGGAGACCCCACTCTGCTGGCACCGTGACCTTGCACTTCTAGCCTCCAAAACTACGGGAAAATCAATTTTTGTCTGAACTACCCAGCCTTCTGTGCTTTATCACAGCATCCTTTGCTCAGATCCAGGCAGGCTCAGGACCACTCAGGGGAGGCAGGTTAATGCAGGTTCCCAGTTCCCATCCTGACGCATCTGACTCAACAAGACTGAATTGGAACCCACCCTTCTAACAAGCCAGCTCAGAAGCCCTACAGGTCAACCCTGACCCACACCACAAAGGGACAATTCCAGGTGTGGCCATGATCATAGCACCAGCATCCCCCAGAGAGCAAGAGAAATACAGCAGGCTCTCAGCACCCACCTCGACCCGAGTTGGAGCCTACAGTTTAACACAATCCCACAGGACCTGTGAGCACAGCGACGGCTGGGACAGCCACCTACAGGGCGAAACCGTCACCAACAGTAAACCCCATGCTCTTTATGACCACCACCAAAGAGGGTGCAGGGAAAACCAGAACTCTGTGTTAGTTTTTCCTGCTTTAAAGCCTGGAGAATAAATTTGCTTCTGAATATTAACACTTGGGGAAGTAATAACTGTTTACAAGATATACTGTACTATGTTGTAAAAATGTTACAAAATGATTACATGAATAAGCCACATGAATACATAGGGTTTATTGTACATCCATGAAAGCTTAGTTACATTTCACACATTCTTAACCCACTGTATTTGAAAATGCAGGATACAAAACCAACTTAAGTACTTCCCACATTAAACCAATTTTTCTTTTCCTTTTTAATTTTTCCTACCTGTTTAGCTTTCTCACACCATAATAAAATGGAACAGAGAAAAGTACATAAAAAGAAAAACATTAAGTAGAATTTTTTAAAACTTTTAATTTACCAATCAATTTAGTTATTTTTAAGACTATTCCCTGTGCCTGGCCTGCCCACGGAGAGCAGAAGGGATCATCCACCAATCTGAGGGCCAGATGATGACATATGCACTGCTGGGTCAGTGAGACACGGCCCTGCTCCTCCTCTGGCCCTGCTCCTCCTCCAGCCCCGCCATCCCCTGAGGTCAAATGATAGGTCAGAGGGACTGGGGGACAGGCCCAGGGCCCAGTCCTGCCTCAGCAAGAAGGCAGCCTCGGCACTCAAAGTCATAGCGATGCACAAAGGACTCAAGGGATTGTTACACGGGCTGAGCGGTTAGGCAGGTGGGTGGTCCTCCCCCCGGATGCTTCGATACTTAGCCATGTCTTCTGGAAATACTTTAGAAAGTTCTTGAATCAACAAGCTTTTAAATTTCTACAAAGAAAAATATACACTGTCAAGATAACTTTGTTTGTGACCCATCAGTCAAAGTTAAAGACAACACACTGTTCCCTGCATAGAGCCCTAAATCTCCTCCTAAAGATCCAAACCAGGCCTCCCCTCCACGGAGCTGCCTGGTCCTCTGCTGCCTGCCTAATGCATGCAGCACGCCAGTCCCAGACAAACATCTGCAACCCTGTTCAAGGTATACTGGCACCTACCTGAAAGAGAACTATGTGTTCAAATAACACCTCTTTCTTCTTGCTCAAATTAAAAGAAAGAGAACCTCTTTGAGGAAGCCAGCCACACAGGTGGAAATGATTTTTGCAGATAGAATAAGTAAAAGGAATCTTCAAATAATATTTAATTAAGCAATTATTAACTTGAACCACATCAACTCACTGTGTGCAAACAGCTCAATGAAAAGCTTCCCACACACCTGGAACCACATTATCTATTCCAAATGCTGTGGCTTCTTGATCCTGCTCACAACATAACACTTACTATGATCACAGAAGCAGGAAATAGCTGCATCTCTTATAAGCCATACTAACAAGCAGCGCTACAGGCACAAACATAAAATCACACATCGTTTAGAAATAAGTTTTCAAAGGGGCTGTTCGCACCAGCACTGCAACTGCTATTTAAAATACAACTTTTGGAAGTTTAAATATAACGCCCACTGAGCAGAAGAAGGCCACAGAACTGACTTGGGACTTTCACCATCTCAGAGGGGAGGAAATGAATCAGCAGCTGCAAAGAGAGAAGCTGTCCCAGGGTGTGTCTGTACCACCTAAAGGCACCCACCTAGCCGTGACCTGCTGGGACCAGCACCTACATGCAGACACGGTCATGTCTGCTGCACAACTCTCATGCAGCTTTGCCAAAATAAACAAAATGACCAAAACCATCACAACTTGCCATTGATAGAAAACTCTATGAGGTTCTGAAGGCGTGGCTGGGTTCAGCAACTCTTCAGTCATAAACTGACAAAAGGAAGATGATATCGTGGGCTCCACGTGAACAAACCACAGTAAACACCACCTGCAGCTCCTACTACTTACCTATCGTCCAGAGTAAACCCTGGAAACCCTCTGACCTGCATGTGCCGGGGCAGGCCTCCTGACAGAGCTCCTCCCCTCACTCAGAAGCACCCTCACAGTGCCCAGAGGACACTGTGACCACCCCCTACCCAGTGCCAGTCTGCAGCTGGGCAGGCACCAGGCATCAGCAAGAATAGAACACTCATGTGCGCTGTGCTCGTCGAGCTTAAGCAGCCAAAGAGGAGACAGAACAGAGAATCCTGACCAGGGCTCCCAAGGAAAGTCACTTTAGACAAGGCTGGTAGAAAAGGCCTCCAAGGAGGTAAAATTAGCTGAGACCAGAGGATAGAGTCCGTTGTGCAAAGAGAACATGGAAGAGTTTCAGGTAAAAGAAAAGAACACAAAGGAAAGGGTCTGAGAACGTTCCAGAAACAAAAACTTGGCCAGCACGGAAAACTGTGAAAAGAGTAAGGGGCAAGTTGTAGGAGAAGCAGGCAGGGCTGGTGCTGCCGGCACCAGAGAGGCCACTGGAACCCAAATAGAGAAACAAAACGCCAAGGTGAACCATATCTAAGTCAACATAAGAAATAAAAATCCATGTTACATGTTTAAGATGAAGTTTTCTAAATCTCATCAAGGCAAGGAAGTTTCTCTGCAGAATTTCATGGAAGTAGATATGGTGAAATGGGGTTGGGAGGTCAGAAGCCGGAGAAAGAGAAGAAAACCAACATTCAAGAATCCTCCAAACCAAAGAACCCTGACTACAAGGAAAGCCTGCGACAGCAGGAATCCACACAGCAGTGACCAGAAGGCAGCGACACAAAGTGCAGACTTAACAACGAAAACCACCAGTTAGCCAGTGACAACTGCCAGGCACAAAAATGAACCTGAATTTTCTTAGAAGATCATCAATGGGTCTTCTATGCTACCACACGGCTCAGTATATCTAACTCTACCTACTGCCTATGACAATTCAGAAATCTCAGGTGGTATGTTATAAAACAGCCAGTGTTCTACTATACACGAGAAAGAGTGACAAAGTGTCACGGAAGCCCCACTGGGCAGCCTCTCTCCCAGTCTCCCGACACCATTCCTGTTGAAGGGTCTCACCTTCATCGTGTCAATCTTGCCTTTAACTTGCTCATTTTTAGCCAGGGCCCTCTCCAGGCACTCTTTGGTGTAGAGTTGGGGGTTTCGACCTTGATCTATATATCTGGAAACATGAAATATCTCAATTAGCATTCTTACAAGTGATGCCTATTTTTAGTTTTCTGAAAATTATGGCAAAAAAATAGTCTTTCTGGAAAGAAACTTACAAAAAAAAAATCTATATATATATCTACACATGTCCCTGTTTAGACAAAACTAAGTCCAGAAACCAAATTAAGATTCCCTCATTTAAACAAGTACAGATAATCTGACTTAATATAAAATCTAATATGAAAATTCATGAAATAAGTAATGACCCCTTATAAACACTAGCAAGCTTCACAAGCCATATCATTTCACACTTATTCAACATCTGCATTTTTCAGAATGCTTTCACGCTATTACCTTTTTGATCATTACAACAACCTGTAAGGTAAGGCAGTGTTTGACAAAAAAGAAAACCAAACCACATCCAGGGCTGCAGGTGTGGGTGCCATAGGACCGTTGGCTAAGACACAGCCTCTGCTCGGGATCCAGTCCCACTGCCGGAGCCTCTGGTGGGGGCACAGGCAGCTATAAGCAAGAGAGTACCCTCCTCCCCAACCACTCCAAGACTCTTTTACAAATTGTTCTACTGCTTAAAGGAAAAAAGTGAGGCAGAGAGGGGACCTTGATGTACCACTTTACTAAATACAACTAAGTAACTTAAATACAACAGAGAAATTTTGTCCATTATTATTTCTAAACAGTATATACCTGTTTCTTGAAATTTTCAACACTTTCCCCAAAAATATCTTTGTTATCCCTAAAGATTGAATTAAACTACCTAAATCAATATCACCAAATTTTCACCAACTGTAGACCATCTGTCTATTTCTGTACCCTGAAGAAATTCATATCATTCAACTAAACTGAATTATTCATTATAAAAAATTTTTACAACCACCACCAATGAAATCCAATTTAGTTTTACTTAGGCAAAACTATACATCATCATTTCCAATTAAAGATACAATTAAGTTGCTTTTCTTTTTTTCTGAGACAGAGTCTCACTTTGTCACCCTTGGTAGAGTGCCATGGCATCATAGCTCACAGCAACATCAAACTCTTGGGCTCAATTGATTGATCCTCTTGCCTCAGCCTCCCTAATAGCTGGGACTACAGGTACCCACCACAATGCCTGGCTATTTTTAGAGATGAGGTTTCACTATGGCTCAGGCTGGTCCTGAACTTGTAAGCTCAGGCAATCCACCTGCCTCGGCTCCCAGACTGCCTTGAGGCGTGAGCCACCGTGTCCTTATTAAGTTACTTTTAACAGTATAAAATCTGGCCTTGACCAATAGCAAAAGACAAATATAATATCACAAGTTTCAGAACACTATTCTGATATTTTTGAAATGATACAATAAAGAAACAAAACTATAAGTCAACTCAAAACTAAATTCATCTATTTCTCAAAAAAAAAAAAAACCCTGACAGGCTCACAGAATGGGTTGATCATTTGATGGTTTGATGTGTCTTCAATAACCAACTGTTTTGAGCAAGAATATCTCACGTAGAGTGGGCTATTCTACAACCCAAGGGTGGAGCCCGCAATTGCCAACACTGAAATCCAAAGTCTTAGAGCAGCGGTTCTCAACCTACGGGTTGCGACCCCTTTCTAACAACGAAAATATATCCTGCACATCAGATATTTACATTATCGTTCATAACAGTAACAAAATTACAGTTATGAAGTAGCAACGAAAATAATTTTATGGTTGGGGGTCACCACAACATGAGGAACTATATTGAAGAGTCGGAGCATTAGGAGGTATTAGGAAGGTTGAGAACCACTGTCTTAGAGGAAAGGGCCAAGGTTTATGTTCATATCTTTACCACAGTCTCAGTCCATGTGTATGAACAAGTGAGCTAAAAACGGATGCACACATCACAGTTTGCAAGGAAACTTCCAGTCTCTGTTCCTTATTAGAACTCACAGGCCACTCTCTTGCGGAGACCCCACCAGAATTTCATCCTTCCCCTCTGCCCACCCACCATAGCCACAATGCATCATGCCCAGCATGAAGTAGTTATTAATATCACAACTTCACAAGGCTTATACCTGAGATTAATATCAAGAGCAATACTTACTCAAAAACTTCTAAAGGTACAGTAATATCATGAAGTTGCTGTCTGCACTTATCAATATCTTGTAAGCCAGAAACAATAAAATTCCTGGGGGAAAGGCAAAACAGAGGAATGCCATTAATTCACAGGACAGCACAAACACCACCCACCGAACCACCTAGCCAACTAGTGATAACACACCTGGACAGGTTACACACGGCTCAACCTCTTTAGTTACCTACAAATTCCTAGGACACATTTAGAGTATTGGAAGACCCTTATATATTTTTTATTTTCCTTCTAAATTAGAAATTGCTGGTAAGGGGGTGGGGGTGTAGGAAGGGAAAAACAATAACCCTTCTCTCAACAATAACCCAGTTGTGTGGTTTCAGTTAACACGCGGGGCAGGGAACTATACTCAAAGTCTGACAAAAAGGAAGCTTCTTGCCCGGTTTAACCTCAGCTGCCTTCTGCAGCCTTCCTACATCCTCGGGCTGACCAGGGTCCTGACTACTTCCATAGCCCTGGGTACGGAACCCGAGGCTGTAATTAAGTGTATGTCTGTGCCCCGTAAAAACCCCTAATTCTTCCTCAGTCAGGTCCATACAGCAGGTAACTTCCAAGCCTCACTCTCCCGCGGCCTTTTCAGTGCACTCGCTGTGGGGCCTGCCTTACCACTGGGGACAGGGACAGAACTCCCCAGAGGGCCTCCAAGACGAACTGCTGGGAGGGCTACAACAGAAAGCAGCATTTCCTTGATGGGGCCCCAGAAATGGAAACTACTGCCTGGTCTTGATTGGGTTTCAAAGTGGACTCTCAAGAAAAGGTCCCAGCAAGGCAAAACGCGGCGGCAGGGCGGCAAGAGGCCGCGGAGAGGGCCCCACCCCCACTCGCAGCCAGGGAAGGGGGCCCGGGGCCGAGCACAGGCGCGGGAGAGGCCAGCGGCTCGGGCCCGGCCCAGGCTCCCTGACCCCGAGCCCCAGACACGCCGCCTCCCCATCCCGAGAAGGTCGCCGGGGGCCTCTGGCCAACACTCACAGCTTCTGATTAAGCCCGGCCTGGCTGCTGGGCTGGAAGTCGCTGACGATGATGCCGAGCTGCCGAATGTTCTCCACAAACTTCTCCAAGTGTTCCTCCAGGTGGTCAAACTTCTCCGCCATCGCTCAGGAGCCTCCACAGCTTACACAGCGAAGCCAGCACTGCCACAGGCGTCTTCGCGCTCTCTCTCTTCCTGCTTCCGTCTGTGTGAAAACCACTTCCGTTTCCTCAGAGTGGGCGGGGCTACCTCGGGCGGTCTCAAACTGCCGAGGCGGGCACCGGACTCAGGGGCGGGGCTTCTTCTCATGGGGCGGGGCCTAGTGCTGGGGTGGTACTGCTGATGCAAGTGGGCGGGGATTCTCGTGGGGCGGGGCCTCGTGCTGGGGCGGGGCTATGTGTCAAAGGAAGCGGCTGTGTATCTGCTGCTGTCAGTCCCATCGGTGGTGTCTCTGTGTTGGGGCAAGTTGAAGACTCCAGCTAGAGTCTTCAAACACCCACTTAGCTAAAAATTCTAAAGTTTGCGTGAAAGACCCAGGACAGGTAGTCTCCCTCTCCTCCAGCTGGAATCTTTGGGGTCAGCGCTGGGCTCCTGCTACCCACTTTTTGTGATTAGCCGCCCCTTGCTACTTAGAAGCTGCAGATTCATTCCCTAAGAGAACCAAAAGCCCTCGCTTCTAGCCATCTTCCCTCATCCCTTTCTAAGCCAGCCCCTCACCCCCTCAGGCCAACTGTGACAAAACAACACCTTAGGGAGTTCCCTGTCTCAGAAAAATAACCTCCCTGCTTCATAAAGCTTCCAGCTGATCACTTATCTTACCGAAATCCAATCTGAACATACCACTCTGGTGCTTCAGGGACTTTTCTGCCCTCATGCCTAGCTTACTTCTCCAGCCTGTCTGGATTCCTTAAGCCACAGTGAGTTCCTCTTTCACTGACTATGGTAATGATGGTGGTCTGTACTTTTTGAATCCTAGAGTCTTAGACAAAATGGGGGAGTTCCTTTGTTAGATCATCTCCAAAGCCCATCCCAGCTGAGACCCAAAATGGAAACCTGGAGGAAGTGATTTGCCCAACAGACTGAATCAGAGACTCCAGTCAACGTGGTCAACAGAACTGGCCTAGGGAACCTCTCTTTCCACGCTGAATGCAAAATGTTGGATAAAATGCCCACCTCTGGACTCAACAGCAGTTGAGGGGAATTTTAGAAGAAGGTGTAAGTATAATACTTGATAAAAATAAAGACAATTGGAAGAGGTAACAGTCCTCAATTTCCTAGGAAAAAAGAGATAGATATTATTTAAAGCTTATTAAACCTAAGCCTTGAGAAGTATTTATTTTTAAATTTTAAGGACATATCATTACTATAATATATGATTCCCAAACTAGTAGAGAGGGAATAAATAAAACACAATCAATTCAACAGACATCAAGAAAAGGTGGGAATAAAGAAGCAAAACACAAGCATGGAAAATAAAAAGCACAAAATAGGCAGAAAATAACCCAATTTTTAAATAGACAAAGGATCTATATAGAGACAGTTCTCAAAAAAGACATAAAAATGGGTAATAGATGTATGAAAAATGTTAAACATCAACAATAATCAAGGAAATGCAAATTAAAACATGAGATATCACCTCTTAACTGTTAGAATGGCTGTCATCAAAAGACCAAAGATAAGAGCTGAAGAGGATGAGGAGAAAAAGACACACTTGTAGACTGTTGGTAGAAAGGTAAATTAGCATAGCCATTATCAAAAATAGTACGAAGTTTCCACAAACTCTAAAAACAGAATTACCATATTATCTAGCACTTCTACTCCTGGGTATAATCAAAGGTATATTTCAAATCAGTATGTGGAAGAGATATCTGCACTTCCACATTTGTTGCAGCGTTATTCACAACAGGCGAGTTATGGAAGCAACCTACTCATCCACTGATGGATGGAGAGTGAAGAGAATGTGCTACACACACTGTAGAAAACTATTCAGCCATAAAGAAGAGCAAAACCCTGCCATTCACAGCAACACAGGTGGAACTGAAGGACATTCTGCTCAGTGAAATGGGCTAGGCACACACAGACAGATACTACATGATGTCACTTATATATGAAATCTAGAAAAGTTGAACTCATGGCTCAGCACATGTGGCTCAAGTGGCTAAGGCGCCAGCCACATACACCTAAGGTGGCAGGTTTGAATCCATCCCAGACCTGCCAGGTAACAATAATGGCTGCAACAAAAAATATCTGGGCATTGTGGTGGGCACCTGTGGTCACAGCTATTTGGGAGGCTGAGGCAGGAGACTTGCTTAAGCCCAGGAGTTGGAG